AGGCTGATCCTGAAGTCATACATAGTTATTTGTTTAAAAAATCTTGTAAAACCTATGTGAAATTGTTTTTTATTTGTTCTTCCCATTAACAACATAAAATTGATTTCGATTTTGGGCCACTTTTTGGTGAAGGAATTAGACTCTTAACGGGCTTGTTTGAGCATTAAATAAGTCACTGTATAAAGGTACCCACTGCACAATCGGTACTTAATGATAATTATTATTATGTAAGCAACATACCCAAGCAGTTCTTCATCTGTGATTTGTAAGAGTGAAAGTGCCAAGGGATATTCATTTATGGCTTGCTTTAGATCATCTAAAGTAAATGCCTGATCTTCTAGGCATTATCTGAATAAAACACTTAGTTCCTGTACATAGTCATAAACTCTTTACTGGAACTTGCTAGCTGTGGTTTCCTTCTAGCCCTAATCAAAAATCCAACAAGCACCTCTCCAAACTTCCTTTAACCCCAATGCCCGTCCTGAAAACTTCCATGATTAATTTCTGTTTGTCTAGACTCTATATTTCCGCATTGTGTAGATAGCCATTGTATCCCATTTGTTATTTGGCTTCTGTTGAAAGTATTTCTCACGTAAGTGATACAGATCAGGGTTGCAGTTTTGTGCTACAAGGTATTGGAGTTCGCAGTCCTTGAACTTGTCCAGCTGTAGTTGTAAACTGTCTCAATAATGAGATAGCAGAATATAGTATTTTAAAAGGTGGCTGCTGCAGCAAAATTGCCAAGGTTGTCATGCTGGCTATGTCACTTGATGACTTTGGGTAAAGTTATTTAACCTCTCTGCCAAATTTTACTGAAGTGCAGAAAGGGGATAACAACATGCCTCACTTCAAGGCTTGCTATGGAGATTAGACGGGTTAATGTTTGCAAAACACTTGGAAGACAGCCTGGCACACAGATGGTGGCATATAAGTATTTGTTATATAACAACAGTTCCCATTTCTGGAGCACTTGGCTACCTATCTGGCACAAAACATTTTTCTTGCAACCTCTTCTTAATCATGCAAGGCAGATAAAGTTATTTACAGTAGTGTGCGAGAACTGGCTTATTCTATGAGAACCAAATGTTAAATTTTGAGAAGGTTGTCAGTGGTTACTAAAGTCAGAGCCATTAACAACAACAACAATAACAACAAAAAGCTATAGGGGCTAGGATTGCATTACAACCAGTTAAGTCCCTGCCTTCAGTGCCAGTATCCTATATGGATGCTGGTGAGTCCTGGCTGCTCCACTTCCAATATAGTTCCCTGCTAATGTGCCTGGGAAAGCAGTGGAAGAGGACGCAAATATTTGGGCCCTCTCACCCAGTAGTAAACCCAGCTGAAGCTCCTGGCTCCTGGCTTGGGCCTGGCTCAGCCCTGGCTGAAGTGACGATTTGGGGGTATGAACCTGCAGATGGATAACCTCTGTCTTTCCCACTCCCCTCTGCCTTTCAAATTAAAAAAAAAAAAATCTTAACTTTTCATTTATGTAAAATTATGGTCAAAGCATAATAAAATCAAGTTAATAAATATTCAAATCTCATCATTTCCTAAGTGTTTACTACACTTTACTATGACCTATGCTTTTGAAGTTAGTTGCTTTGTTGTACCTGTATGGTAGAAAAAGTGGTATGATATTGCGCCCCTGTAACTTTGCTTCTGGTGATACCAGTAACTGCAGCTTTGATACCTGTATGTGGAACATTGCTATGTGTACACACAGAATCCGCAGCGTGCCCTCTTGTGTACACAGCTGTACAAGTTCCTCTTTAGTCTGATGATTCTAACCCAGACTAGGAATGCCTTTGGTCTCTTCCCTTAACTTGATAAATCCCATTGCCGTTTGGCCGGTGGTCCATTTTTGCCCATTATGCCTTCTTCCCAGAACCTTCTTTCTTCTGTTCAAGGATAAGATTAAATCCATTCTTTCCAATTTCTGGCCTAGTTTCTAATTTCTGGGTTTGTAGAGGGTTGGCATTATATTTAAGGTCCTCTATATAATCAGTTTCCTTAAATTTTTGATTAATGTACAAATGCATGCAAGAAAACTACACACACCAGAAGTATACAGCTTAATCTTTTTTAAAAAAAGATTTATTTCTTTTTATTAGAAAGGCAGATATACAGAGAGGAGAGACAGAGAGGAAGATCTTCTGTGCACTGATTCACTCCCCAAGTGGCCGCAATGGCTGGAATTGAGCCAATCTGAAGTCAGGAACTAGGGAGCCAGGAACTTCTTCTGGGTCTCCCCATGTAGGTACAGGATCCCAAAGCTTTGGGCCATCCTCGACTGCTTTCCCAGGCCACAGGCAGGGAGCTGGATGGGAAGCTGGGCTGCCGGGATTAGAACTGGTGCCCATATGGGATCCTGGCGCATTCAAGGCAAGGACTTTAGCCACTAGGCTATTGTGCTGGGCCCTGCTTAATCATTTTTCAGAAGCTCAACAAAACTCATGCAACTTGCATAACATCAAGAACCAGAGCATAATTTTCATCTCTGAAACCGCACCATCCTTACACTTTCTATTTTCCTAAGAGTATATACTCACTAGTATTTAAAAGTCCGTCAGTTTTTCTTTCAATTTTCATTTATTTGAGGAAGAGGGGGCGAGAGCGACACCTGCTGTTAGGTACTTTGATGTGGCAAGATACAGGTATAACCTAGTATTAACCAAAGGCCAAATGCCACTCTGAATATTGGCATATCTAGGACTGTTTTGGACAGAACACTTCTACATAGGATTATTATCTCTTTCTTCCTTTTGGCATGAGAGTAGTATTAAGACGCAGGGCCTGTGGTTCCAGGAAAAGAACCCTCTCAAGGCAAGTTCAAACATCAAGAGATTATCCACAGGGGAGATACATGACCTCATGAGTCTTTTTTTTTTTTTTTAATGTTCACTCCTCATGTATTGTTTTACTAAAACCCACCACATTTCACATTGAACTCTCTAATCTAGGTATTAAGAATGATTGGGACTCTGCTCAGAAAGTTCTTCAAATGTTTCAGCAGTTATGAGACACCTTTGCAATCTGGCTAGAAATAGGCTCCAACATTATATGTCTGCACATTCAGAAATTCACACAATTGTAGGTTTCAGTTTGTTGACCTTTTTCGTTTTGGTGGGCTGAGCTTTCTTACTGCTCTGGTTGTAACTCTATTTCCAAATTTCTTCTAAAACAGCACGTTTAACCATCACACGAATTAACATTAGAATTAACTTCTGTGTTTGTCTGTATTCTCCAGCTCATAGGACACCTTCAGGAGCAGCACCACAGGGATGCAGAGGAGCGATGATGGGCATGGGGTGGAGCAGGCAGGCACTAGTATCTGTTGCACCATTGGAGCTGCACCCCGGGCACTGCTGGGGAACTTCCCTTCAATAACTTTTTAAAAAACAATTATTATATATAAATATTTGGTTTTTTTCCAAGAACTGCTTTTTTAATATCACAATATGTTTTCAGTTTCACAATATTTGTTTATTTATTTGAAAGGCAGAGAGCGATCCTCCATCTGGTGATTCACTCCTCAAATGGGCATAACAGCTGAAGCTGGGTCAGAAGCCAAGAGTAAGTGCAGGGGCCCAAGCACTTGAGCCAACCTCTGCTGCTTTCCCAGGTGCATTAGCAGGGAACTGGATCAGAAGTGGAGCAGCCAGAACTTGAACTGGTGCCCATAGGGGATTCTAGCAGTGTGATTATTGGCTTTATCCTGTACACCACAGTGCCAGCCCCACTTCATGAACCTTGTGTTCATGGACCTTATATTTCTGGTTGTTCCACTCTCTCTATTTAGTGAGTTTGTTTTTCTTATAGATTTACTATTTATTCAAAAGGCAGAGTTACAGAAAGAGAGAGGAAGAAAGGTACTTACCAAATGGCTGCAGTGGGTCAGGCTGGGCCAAGTTAAAGCCAGGAGCCAAGTTTCAGTTCAGGTCTTCTACATGGGTACAGGACTCCAAGCACTAGGGCCACCTTCTGGTGCTTTGCCAGGCACATTATCAGGGAGTGGGACAGGTGGGACTCCAACCAATACTCTCAAGGCATGCTGGCTGTGCAGACAGTGGCTTAACTTGATGTGTCACAGTACTGGCCCTTAGTGAGTTAATGTTAGCAAGATGATTTGTAATTAGAAAAAGCAAGACAAGAACGTTTTAAGCTAAGACAAGGGAGCTAAGAGACCTTGGATGCCTAGGATTTACATATCTCTGGAACAGGATGTAATGAGAAGAGCCTCTGTGTCTTACTGATTGCAGCTGTATCCCCATCACTCAGGAACAGCCACTGGCCTCCAGTGGATTTTTGTTGTCTTACAGATAAGGAAGCAGGCTTCTGAGGTTTCAATAACACAGCGGTTATATAACATGTAGAGGTTAAATAACACGGAAAACCAGGTTCAAATCTGGAATCTTCCAGAGCCTGCTTGCTTATTCGCTATGCCGTGGACATTGATTTGTACTAAACTTTTTGGTGATGAGAAATTCTAGTGCAGTTCTCCAACCTGAAAAAACAAAAATCCTTTTTTTTTTTTTTTTTTGCTAGCTTGAGAAAAATTCACCCTTCACACTCCCTCCTAAACATGGTGTGATGTGTAGCTCCTCTCAAGGGCCTCTTTTCCCCATATTTCAGCTCTGATGAAGAACAGCTCCTGCTTCTCTCAGAAACACCTCTTTCTCTTATCCGGACTGAATAATCCCTACCTCTTCAGTTCTTCCTGGTAACTGGCAGTAATGTACTTCAGGGGCTCCCCTCAACTTCATGGTCCAATCGTTGGACTGACTGGATAGGAAGGGCCCTAATACCGTCTTCATAATTATTGACTAAAACATCACAGGGCAAGGATAATTTCAACAGTCTCTAGACGGGAAGGGCTATTTGGCGTTATTTGGCGCCATCACTAACCGCCTCTCCACCCTGACGCCTGCCCCGTGACGGCGACTCCCATCATCTCCGCCCACTTCGGCCTACGCCGTCTCCGAGACTAGTTTGACCCTCGGGCGGCCGCCGTAGCGCGTCGCCCCGGTTGCCGTGGGAAACGACCCGGGACCTGGGAGGGGGCGAAGACGTTTCCCGCCGGCGGGAGCTGCGGCTGTGACTGAGCCTAGGGGGCACCCAGCGTCTGCGGGCTCCGTTGCCACAGCACCATGGCGGACCAGCTTTATCTGGAAAACATAGACGAGTTCGTCACGGACCAGAACAAAATCGTGAGGAAACGAGGACTTAGGGGGTGACGCGGGCGTGTGACCGGGCCTGGCCAGGGCGGTGGGGGCCTTGACCGTCCATGCTGTCTGTGAGGTCTCGTGGGGACTGACCGAGGGGAGACGAGGTCCCTGACCCCTCGAGCCCCAGGGCGAGCGGGCCCGGGGATCCGCGTTCGTCCGGTGGGCGTGTTTGAGGGGGAATCTGCCCCAGGGAGAGGCCGCGCGCGGCGGGTCGTGGGCAAAGCGTGTCTGCACCGGCTGTACCGAGCGTTTGGCGTTGAAAGCCCCCCAGGTCTACCTCTGGGGAACGTGCCCCTCACCGGGCCTGAGTGACAGTCTAGCCTCCAGCTTCCTCTTCCTGGAAATTTAAGTACTGTTGGGGGCGTGACCCGCCTGCGGGGAGATGGGTGTGAGACGCCGGCCCAGGGCTAGGCGTGGCTCCAGGAAAGCCCACCGGGAGCGGAGGCGCCCTGGACACACACTGTGGGCACCACCTCTCTTCTCCTGACCCTCCCCCGCCTCGCCCCGGGTCCATGGTCAGCCTTGCTCTAAGGAAGCACTTGCTGGTTCCACACTGGTGAAGGAGGGGCAGATTCCGATCCTTCCGCGGATGCGCCTCACACTGTCTTTGCCCGACACCTGCACAGGTCTTCTAATCACTGCGCCTTGAGACTGACAGGCACACGGGGTCAGGAAGCATGTAGGCGTGGTGTCCCTGGTTTCCCATCTAACCCACTACCAAATTCATCCATTTTGATAGTTTCCCGACCCCATGCACCGCCGGTGCCCCTCTATGCTTGTATCCTGAGAAATTTCTGGAGTGATTTTAGTGAGTTAGATGAACTTTCTTTTTTTTTTTTTTTTTTTATTGTTGCTTACATTGTATTATGTAGTACAGTTTTATAGGCGCTGGGGATTTCCCCCACCCCTCCCCTACCCCTCCCCCCATGGTGGATTCCTCCACCTTGTTGCATAACCATAGTTCAAGTTCAGTTGAGATTCATTGCTTGCAAACACATGCCTAGCATAAAGTTCAGCGTCTTATTGTCCAGATAAGTTCAGTGGCCTCTTGGGGAGACCTTCTATGGTCTGAAGATAGGTCTAACAGAGTAAAGATCTGGTCAGTTAAAAGCCCCAACAAGGCCTCAGTAGAGTTAGATGAACTTTCAGGCAGTTTTTTTGAGTGGTGATTCCCAAAAGACAGGATCTGAAGAAAAACCAAGGGGTGTGAGGGAAATGAGACTTTTCCTTTGTGTACATTCAGGGTGTCACCTTAGATTCTTTGGTATCAAAAAGTCTGTGAAAAAAAAAGAAAAATCTCTGGTTTTAAAGGTAGATATCTTTACCCTGCCAGCCCAAACAGTTCTTAGCAAAACTGTGGTGTTCTTGATTGTAGTTTAACATTGTAGGAACATTTAAGAATACTGAGCTACCCTCTGGAGTAATTTCATAAAGCATTCTTACAGTTGCTTCTTCTTGCAGGTGACGTACAAGTGGCTGAGCTATACACTGGGGGTTCATGTTAACCAGGCCAAACAGTAAGTCCAGTTTGTCATCAGTTTTAATCATTTAGAAACGATCTTTGTTTTCCTTCCTGTTTTGCTTTATTTTTAAGTCCTGAATAAATGGGAAAGAAGACTTAATTTACTACCCCTTTCTACTTTTTGTCTCCTTTTAGGAGATTGGTGGACTTGATGACAAATGTGTGGTGATAAGTTTACTGGATTGATTTGCATCCTTGGCCCCTTGTAAACATCAGCTTGTAATTTCAGATTCTTAGGTGGATTAGTTCTGTTTGTATCTTGAATTTATGTGTCTGTTGTCTCACATCTTCACCACATTTTCACTTGTGCGCCTTAGCCCCTTCTGCAGGTGTTACTGAACTGCTTCTGTAATGAGGTCAACAGGTGTCTGACAGGGGAAACTGAGTGAAACGGGAGAGGGAGTGTTTAGGGTGATGCAGAGTAGAGGGTTGCCTTTTTAAAATTTTGCTATGTCTCCTTGCCTAAGCTTGTGGTCTAACCTGAGGCTGAAAGAAAAGGTAAGCTTTTGAATTAACCTGAAAGTTTTGTTCCAGGGAAGGAATTAGTGAAATGGCTGAGGGTATCTGTATTGGATTAAACTCTCATTTTATTGTTCATAAGGATGGTCTGAAGTTCCTCTGTTTCTTGAGTCATAGAAATTCGGAGCTATGAGAACATTCCACAAGTCTTAGAAAGTCCCTGTTCCCTAAAATGGATTGGTTTGGCCTGGGTTGCGGGTTACTACTAAACATCGATGTGGTGTGGTGTTTAAGCTTTCTAAACTAGAAGCCTTTTTTTTATTGTTGCCTATTTTATTTTTAAAATTTATTTATTTTGTGATACAGTTTCAAAGGTTCAGGAATTTCCCTCCCCCCCCCGCCCGTAATTTTCCCCATGTTATTGCAGTGATATAATTCTTCAAAAACAGTCAATAATCCATCATTCTGCTGTTTAAGTATGTCAAGACATTATTGGTATAGACAATGGCAGAAATCCAGCATCTTATTGTCAATATATATATATATATGATTTATTTATTTTTATTGTAAAGTCAGATTAACAGAGAGAAGGTGAGACAGACATCTTCTATCTGCTGGTTCATTCCCCAAGTGGCCACAATGACCTGGAACTCAACTGATCTGAAGCCAGGAGCCAGAAGCTTCCTTCAGGTCTCTCACACAGGGGCAGGGTCCCAAGGCTTTGAGCCATTCTCTACTGCTTTCCCAGGCCACAAGCAGGGAGCTGGATGGGAAATGAAACAACTGGGACACAAACCAGCTCCCATATAGGCTCCTGGTACATGTAAGGCAAGGACTTTAGCCACGAGGCTAGCATGCCGGGCCCAAGATATATCTATATCTATATCTATATCTATATCTATATATTATTATTATTTATTTTATTTAGAAGGCAGAGTTACAGAGGAAAGAGGAGAGGGAGATTTTCTTTCCATTTATGGGTTTACTCCCCTGATGGCTATAATATCCAAGGCTGGGCTAGATGGAAGCCAGGATCTTTGACCACGTCTCTCACATGGATGTCATGGGTCCAGGCTCTTGGGTCATCCTCTGCTGCTGTCCCAGATACATTAGCAGGAAGTTGGACTAGAAGTGGAACAGCTGCTACTTGAAGAACCAGCACTCATATGCTATGCTGACAGTAGAGGCAGTAGCTTTACCTACTATGTCCTGGTCCCCAGAAACTTATCTAGGGATGGATTCAAAGTGGTTTTGACTGAAATTGCCTAAGACTAATCCTGACCCAATGTTAAGGTAACTGACAGTGGACACTTACAAAAGTTATTGTTTGTTAAATTATGGATTTTTAAGAGCTGAAGCAACTGTTACTATTAGCCTGTTGGGGTTTAGGGATAAATGATGACTAGAGTTCACTGAAGATGAAAAAAGCATGATTGCAGATTTATTGGGAGGTACCCTAATTACCTGTAACTTTTATGGCATTAGCACTGAATTCCTACATGTCAGTTCAACTACATCCTGTGCCACTCTATCTCATTTGTTACCTTAGCCTGCTTTTCTCCCAGCTTTTTTCATCCTTCAGGTTTCAAATCCAATTCCACATATTGTAACAAGCCTTCTTAAATGCACCATTCCAAGTGTCCCCACTTCTCCCTAATTTTGTCATAAAACTCTTAAATATTTTTCAAAGATTTATTTATTAGGTTTTCTTTTTTCTTTCTTTCTTCCTTTTTTTTTTTTTTTTTTTTTAAAGTCAGGATTAGAGGGCAATATATATAGAGAGAGATCTTGGCATTCACTGGCTCACTCCCCAGATGGCTATTATAGCTAGCTTTGGGCCAGGCTAAAGCCAAGAACCAGGAGCTTCATCCTCATCTTCTGCATGAGTGGTAAGGACCCAAGCATCTGTACCATCTTCTGCTACTTTCTCCAGGCCATTAGCAAGGAGCTGGAGCAGAAGTAGAGCAGCTAGGGCCTGAAACAGTGCTCATATAGGATGTGATCATCATCAGATGTGGTTCTACCTGCTACCTCACAATGTTGGCCCCTACTATTAATTTCTGGCTTCTTTTTCTTTTTTTAAGATTTATTTATTTGAAAGATGGAGAGGGGTTTTTATCCGCTGCTTCTCTCCTCAAATGACCAAGTTGTCTGGGGCTAGGGCTGTTCCAGCTGAGTCTAGACACTTCTAAGTTCGCTAAGGGGATGACAGGGGCTAAAATTATTTGGGCCATCTTTCTGCTGCCTTTTCCAGACCATTAGCAGGGAGCTAGATTGGTATTGGAACAGCTAGGACTTGAGCCAGTCCCCATATGGGATGCTAACATTGCAGACTTAATCTGTTAAACTGTAATGCTGGTCTCATTATTCTTTTTTTAGAAATAGATATATTGATATATAAGTCACATACTGTACAGTTTACCCTCTTGAAGTATACTCTTCAATGATGTAATGAGCTTTGTGTATGTAAGTTGTGTAACCATTACATCAATTTTACAACATTTTTATTATCCCAGAGATAAATTGTGTACCCTTTAGTAGTCATTATTTCTTTTCTTTTTCTTTTTTTTCAGCAGTCATTATTTCTCCAACCTCCATTTTCCTTCTCCAATACTAAACAACCAGTAATCTATGTACTTGCCTATTGTAGATACTCATAAATGGAGTCATAAATTCTTGAATGTCAGGTCTCTTTCACTTAGTATAATGTTTTCAAGGTTTGTGTATGTTATAGCTGTGAATCAGTATTTAATTCCTTTTGGGGGTGGTGTTGATATGACACAATGGGTTAAGTTGCTGCTGGCCATGGTGACATCCTGTATCAGAGTACCAGTTGGAGTCCCTTCTTTGTGCTTCCAGTCTACCTTCCTGCTGATGCACTTGGGAAGGCAGTGGAGGATGGCTCAAGAATTTGGGCTCCTTCCATCTATGTGGGAAGCCAGAGATTCTTTCTCCCTCTTTGTCTCTACTGCATTGCTTTTCAGACGAGATTGGGCGTGTTCACGGTGGTATGGCCGTAGACAATGCACTGCTTTTCAAATAAGTGAACAATAAATCTTTAAAAAAATTCAGTTTTCTAATTCATTTGAAAGACAGGGAGAAACACAGATCTTCCATTCACTTACTCACTCCCCAGATGCTCACAACAGATGGGGCCTGGCCAGTCTAAAGCCAGGAACCCAGAACTCAATCTGAGTTTTTCATATGAATACAGGGACCCAAGTACTTGAGCTGTCATCTGCTGCCTTCCATGGTGCACATTAGCGGGAAGCTAGAACCGAGTGTAGCTGGAATTTTAACCCAGGTACTCCAGTATGAGATGTGGATATCCCAAGTGATATCTCAGTTTTACTGTGCCCAAGTTGCCCACCCACCTTTTAATTGCCAAATAAATTTCTTCAACAAACTTGATGGCTTAAAACAACATTAGCTCACAACTCTGGAAGCTAAATGACCAAAATCAAGGTGTTGGCTCCCTTTGAAATCTGTACAAACAAATCCTTGCTATTTCCTACCTTCTGGTGTTTGTTGACAGTCTTTGGCATTTAAGAGTTTAACTTGGGTCTCATCATTGTTGTGTGACGTGCACCCTGTGTTTATTTTCATATAACCATCTTGAAAGAGCACTGGTTGGGTTAGGAGCCCACTTTGCTCTGATATGATCTCGACAGATTTCAAATGCAGCAACTGTTTCCAAATAAGGTCACATTTTAAGGTGTTAGAAGTGAAGACTTGATTGTATCTTTTTTGAGAGACATACTAAAGCCCATAAGGCATATGCTCAGTCTTGCTTATTCATTAATTGATGAGTATTTGGGTTGCTTCTGTATTATGACTATTACCAACCATGCTTATGTACAACTATATTTTCTGTCCTCTTGAGTATGTATACTTAAGTCTGGAATTGCTAGATAATTATTAACTGTTCAACTTTTGAGGAACTAACAAGCTTTTTTGCTATTTACAAAGATTGCTGCTAACAATTTACAAGGATTCTAGTTTGTTTCCCATCTGTCAATATTTTGTCATTTTAAATTAAAATTTTATTTTAATCATAATGACTATAAAGTGTTAGCATGCATTTTAAAAAACGATTTATTTATTTATTTGAAGGCAGAGTTACAGAGAAAGAGATCTTCCATCTGCTTGTAAGACTCCTCTGATAGCTACCATGACCAGAGTTGGTTCAGGCTGAGGACAAGAGCCAGGAGCTTAACTAGGTTTTCCATGTGGGTAGCAGGACCTCCAGACACTTGTACTATCTTCTGTTGCTTTCCTAGGCTGTTAGCAAGGTGCTGGATTGAAAGTGAAACAGCAGGGAAATCAGACCCAAACCCAAGCCATCTGGGATGCTGGAGTTGTGGGCTACTGTGTTATCCATTAGCACTTTGGTGTTTGGCACAAGGTTGATTTTTGTTTGTTTGTTTTTTAATTTAAGGGAGAGAAGGGAGAAAGAGTATTCCCATTTACTGATTTCTCTCCCCATTGCTTGCAGTAGACCCTTGCCAGATTTGTAGTTGGAAACCAGTAATTCAA